GTGTTGCCATTGCTCGCTTTGAAATTGTTCAGTTTAGTACGTTAACGTTTACAAAATTTGGAATAGATAAGAAAACAATTCAAAATAAGGGCTTCCAAGTGGCCATGTTCGGTTGGAGGACTACGTTATTCAAAATTTGACGTCTCTAAGTAACGTTGTTTTTCACAGTGCGAGAAACATTCATGCATTCATGCAGATTCTTCATAACTTAGTTTCTCTAAATATAATACATGGCGATAATATTTGGTGGCAACAGTTTGAAAAGTAAATCAACGCAGAAAGTGAAACGACGCAAAATGCCGTTTTGAGACGAATAACCCGTTTAGTGTAACGCTACTTTGGTCTAAAAATCCATAAAAATTCAGCAAATTTGTTAACGAAAGTTCTGAACAAATCTTATTTGAAAAATTAAATTTGATTCTATCTGTTGGTGTAAAGATCAGAATTCTACAATGATTAGTTTAGTTTTGACACTGATTAAAATGTATCTACATCGAATTTGAAAAAAAAATCCTGTGGAATACTGTAAAGTAATATCATCACAAATTCGTATGTTTGAAACGCTTCAAGAAAATGGCGTTTATAGAAGAGGGTAAAAAATTCATTCTAAGATCTCACCGGACAAGGAAAGAAACTAAATTGAATAAAACTGTACAAAACAAATAACGCAGAAGCCAGTACATTGTTATAGACTGTAAGTGATATGATAGTGAGCGATTTGACGAAGGAGAAATGTGTTAAGTTTCATTCATGAATAATATCTTATATTTCTTATTTTTTTATCTTTTATCACATCCTACTGAAGATGATAACAAACTTTATTTGAAAATGTTTCAAGATATCTGAGCAGTTTCCTTTCTCAGTGAATTAAGATAGTTTGCTTCAAGATATTGAAGCAAGGTTTCCTTTATCAGTGAATTACAAAATTTTTGGTAAAGAATTCAGTGATGCATCTTTTCTTTTTTAAGTTTTCACGGTAAATATTTAAATAACTATTTGTTAAGTTTCTTTCACGAGAAATACAGTTTAATCACATGTAGCAAATGAAAAATGAAATATCTATATACTAGCAGCTGTGCTGCCAGCCTTCGTCTGGCTTTTAAATGTACCGGAAAAATGCCTGAAGGGAACACAAAACGTTGAATTTAAAAACTGTGTAGAATTTTACTCTGTAGAACAACTTCATCAAAAAAAAAAAAAAAAAAAAAAAAAAAAAAAATTATTTAATGTATTACATATAACACGATTGCAATGAAATAAGCAATATCCTTTAAGACTAATATTAATTATCCTAATAAATAATCCCGTTGCCTTCTCTTGCAAACGTCCTAATCCAAGAGAAACATTAAATTTAAAAACTGCACAGAATTATCGCCCTCAATTTTCCAAGTGGCAACAGTGCTGATTTTCAATGTCAGCAGTCCAGTATACAATTGAATGAAAAACTGTTGCCAAAACCACATTTCTAAAAGAATGAAACTATTCAAATGGTGCGATAAAATCGAAAAGATAAAATTAAAAAAAAAAAAAATATGATTCGAATTTTGAAAAAATCGCTTCGAAGTGCACTGGTTCTTGTCTAGAAGCACCTATATACGAAATTTCGAACGAAAGACACACAGACTCTTTCTTTTATTATATGTAGAGATATAAAAAGGAATGTCTGTTTGTGTGTTTCTTTGTTCGCGTTATTGATTTCTGATCAATTATGATCAATTTTTTGCCAAATTTAATCGACTAAAATTGAATATAGGTAAAATATTGGATAGAACTTGAGTTTTTATAACCATTTGATTAGAAAGACGAAAATCATTGAAAACTGCGTGACATTGTAGCTGATATAATGGGAGAGAATTAGTTTATTCTTTTATCGAAATTTTTATGTGGGTTCCATAGCGCATCAGACTGAAAAATGTATGTAATCGTATTTTTTGCATCGTTATTAGAGAAGGATTACAGCGGTATCATCCTCTCTGTTGTTAGATACATTACTCTCCATCTAACTTAACTGGCATCGGGTACTTCCGCTAGTAAATACTATATAGTTTATTACATTGTAGGGATTATTTTAAAATTATTATATTTTCTAACAGTTATTTTTAATTTTGAAACATTTCCCTTTATTCTTTTGTTTCCCATCTACAGCTCCCTGTCAGAATGAGTTTTCAGTATTGAGGTTTATGTAAATGAAGTACAACAAGGTCATACTATAAGGTATTTCTCCCGTCTTCTTAGCGTGCCGTCGTGGTGTAGTGGTCTGCACCCTGGGCGCTTATTCCAGAGGTCCGTGGTTCGATTTCCGGCGAGAGTGTTGCTAATTTTTCATCTCTCCTGTTTCCAAAAAAATCTTAATGTCTCTACAGTGGCGCCCGAACTGAAAAAAGGTGGTGAATAATGATTCTCCACACCCAGGATTTGGCGATTGGGTCCCCTAAAAACCCAAATCGCCCTTTAAAAGGGGGAGTATATAAGGTATTTTTCTCGCCTTCTTAGCGTGCCTTCATGGTGTAGTGGTCTTCACGCTCGGCGCGTATTTCAGAGGTCCGTGGTTCGATTCTCGGCGAGGGCATTACTCATTTTCGTCGTTCCTGCTTCCAAAATACCTAATGTCTCTACAATATTCTTTGTCATATTTGTGTCCTTATACGTTTTGACGTGCATTATGAGTTTAGCAAAATCTTCAAGCTCAAAATGTTTAATATAATTTTTGTATATCAAGGTTAAGTGTGTAGAGGTGCCTATGTTGAACTTCTCAAATTATTTTACAGTTAATTACCTTTTAGTGACGACAGTTGGAGACGCAGGAGAAAATCTGTTTTCAAAGCATTATGATGTAGAAGATCAAATTTTTCGATAAATAGTAGTATAATATTTTTGCAACTGATACTAATCTATGGAAACGGCAAACTGGTTTCACTAAATCTGTTAAAAATGCTGTTCTGATTTGCTGCTAATCATCAGCTTCATAAATTCCTTCAAGAAACTATATGACACTAATGACACTATAATGTCGGTTAATCGAACAGGAAAAAGCTTTTATTATTTGAGAAACGACTGAGAAAGTCACGCGACCATAACAAACAAAATCTAAACAACGAAGTATAAGGTATTTTCTCCCTCCTTCTTGCCTGCCTTAGTGGCGATAACGGTAGCACACTCGGCGCGTATTCGAGAGGTCCAGATTCGAGTCCCGAGGTGGGCTCATTTTTCATGTCTTTTGCTTCAAAATAACCTAATAACTGTAGAGTGGAGTCCGAACTAAAAAAGGGGGTAGGAAATGATTCTTCACCACCAGGATTTAGCAATTAGGTTCCCTAATCCCCAATCGCGCTTTAAAAGGGGGAGTATATGTGGTATATTTTCTCCCTCTTTCCTGCATGCTTTCCTGGTGTAAGGTAGCACACTTGGCGCGTATTCGAGAGGTACAAGTTTCAGTTCCGACTAGGGCACTGCGTATTTTCTATGTCTCCTGCTTGAAAATAACCTAAAGCCTCTACTACTCTAAACTAAAAGGTGGCGGAAATATTTCGTCACCACCGTGATTTGGCGATTGGGTCCCATAATCCCCAGACGCCCATTAAAAGGGGGAGTATATAAGGTGTTTGCTCCTTTCTTCCAGCATGCCTTCGTGGTATAACGGTTAGCACACTCGGCGCGTACTCGAGAGGTCCAAGTTCTAGTCCCGGCAAGTGCATTTGCTCGTTTTGCCCATCTCTTGCTTCAAAATAACCTAATGATTCGCTCATTATAGAATAATGGTTGCGTCTATTGCGGCAATGAACAGTTACGTCAGTATTCCTTCGCCATAAATAAAGATCTGTAGCAAGTAGTCATGACTGTGTTTTTCTTATCACCATACACCTAACATCAACATAATTTTTTATTGTCAGGTTCAAAATTTTTATCATGTATATATACATACTCACATACGCACGCACACGTACACTCACAAGTGTATATACATGTAATAATAAAATTCCATAGTCGAAAATGCACTTAAAATTCTAACTGTATGTTCTTTTCATTTTTAATGGCGACGGTCTCTTATTTGAAAGTACCGTGGAATTAAATACACAGCCCCGTAGTCAAGTTGTTTTTCCCGCCTTTTCTACACATACAGTTATAGAATGTTCTGGAGATATTTAAAGCGAACTGGAATGGCTGACGAGGCTGACGTCATTTCTTGGAAGCTCCGCCTTTCCAGAGGCTATAAAAGGACTCGCAAAGGAATATCGGGGTCTTTTTCTTTAATGTAACGATGCAGTAAACTTCATACAAAAAGTTATTAGTAATTCTTTTTTATTTACTCCGAAAATATGATTTTGTAACTGCTATTTCTCCTGACCAGTAATAAATGGATCCTGTTTTTTAAACATACCGTCTGATAATTTAACCTACGACTACATCTATGATTCTTTACTCATCTATTTATTCCGGACAAAAGCTGGTACATCACACACATATTATTAATATTTGGGGAAAGAAAGCCAATTAGGAACTTAATTAAAAATTCAGTTAATTCCTCCCTCCTTTCTGCATGCCTTCGTGGTGTAACTCTAGCACACTCGGTGCCTGTTCGAAAGGTCCAAGTTCGAGTCCAGCGAGGACATTGCCCATTTTTCACTTTTACTGTTTTAAAATAACATAATATCTCTACATAGTCTTAGACCAGAATGAGTCTTACAAAATGTATTTATATATATATTACATTCAGTACATTGCCAGTTTCTTCTGCAAAGTATATTGATGAAATTGCTGTCTGTTCTTGAATACTTTTGTAAAATACAATAATAACAAGAAAAAATACAGGCTTTGCTATACTAAATACAAATAAAAAAGTATTATTATGCAAAATATTTAAAATTTGTTGCCTTTATTCAAGTGCACTAAAACATTTGATTAAAATCATGACTCGAAATATTTCTGGATTTCTCTTTAGAGCTTTTGAATAATGGTATAAAGTACGTCTAAGTCCATGCTAATAAACAAATGGCACTTACCTTCACTAGCATTTTGGATATCCGAAGTTGCTTTGACTATTGACGCTCTTGCAAATATTACAGGAAGCGGAAGCTTTTATAGTTGACAGAAATCTGGAGCAAAAACGAAACGTGTTTGATATCAGATGCAAAATTTAATTAAGAAGTATGGTTAGTAAAACATCAAGGATCTTTGATGGTGCGACCCTCAGATTTTCATATCGTACATACACCCAGATGTCAAAATAACCGGATTCGGCGCCAGTTTCGGTCTCGCACAAAAGGGTGTTGTTCTTTACTGTAATTAATTCTCAAGGATTTTTGACGGTAAAGTTCTTTATTATTACATGCAGGAAATAGAACTGCGTTTCTGTCAATAATCTAATAAGTACACTGCGCAAAAAAAGGGGGGGTAGTTCTATATCTCCTGTTCTGGCCGATTGGCGAAATTCAACTTGCATTTTTAATGTCTCAAAAGCGCGACTTAGGATATATATTAAATTTATATATAGCATTGTTCTAACATAGGTATTCTGATGCAAAATCGCACTTTTTCTGAAATAACATACCAATTTTTTTCCGCATTTCATTTTTACGACTCAAATTATGCCAAAGTGCGAAATTTCGTAAAAATCGCATCACGAGTAGTTTTTAAAAAATTAGCTCTCAAAATTTTAGCTCCTCCATGTTAATTAAATCTGGTATATATTTATTAATACCTCTCTTTTTATTAAATTTATGTGATTCTTTCTTTCGTATTTCGAAATTTAGGTTCATTTCAAATAAAATTCCCCCATTTTTTTATTAAATTTATGTGATTCTTTCTTTCGTATTTCGAAATTTAGGTTCATTTCAAATAAAATTCGCCCATTTTTTATGATTTATTTTAAAAATTTGTATTTTTAAATATTTTTTATAATTTTTTCGAAAACATTTTTGTGTTATAACATATAAAATTTTTAACGTCCTGTTAAAGCAGATGTATATCTAGGCACACCTGCAAAAAATTAGAGTTCTTTATTCAAAATTCCGTAAGATATGCGCGAATTTACGTTTTTGCGCGTTTCGAAATTTGGCATATTCGTTATAAAAAATAATAACGCCAAATGTGGCTTACGCACTTTGTTAAAACTATTTGAAAGAATGACCGATGGGCCTTTTTCGCGGTCGTGCATCAATGGAAAAAAAAGAAAAGTAAGTAGGTTAGTATAAATTAAGAATTTCGCCAAATGAATTATTCTTGATACAAACTGGGGGGAAAAAATAAAATGCCAAGATAAATTTTTAAATTTCTCCATAAATTTCGCACCAAATTTTACAAAATTTAATATTTAGGTATAATTTGAGTCGTAGATTCGAAATAGGAAAAAAAATTGCCATGTCATTTCAGAAAAAGTCCGATTTTGTGTCAAAATACCTATATTAGAATAACGCTATATATAAATCTAATATATATCTTAAATCGCGCTTTCGAGACATGAAAAACACAAGTTGAATTTCGTCAATCGGCCCAGTAGAACGGGAAATATAGAACTGTCCTCCTCCCCCCTCGCATTGTACATGTCTTTCTAACAGCGCATAATTTCTCTTTACTTCCTTGTACGAAGTAAAAAGGAAGTATTTTAATCGCGAAAAGTCTCAGGCAGTATATTTCAACGAAAATATCCATTTTGACCGCTATCGAATGCAATTTAACGATGTTTTTGCGTGATATCTGTACGTAAGGACAGAATAAAATACTCTTTTCCTTCAAAAAAATTATAAAACTGCTTTAAAATTAATTCTGAAGAGAATTTTTCGTGGCGTCTGTACGAACGTATCTCGCATAACTCAAACACGAGTAGCCTCAGGACGTTGAAATTTTGTATATAGGACTGCTATAACATGTAGATGTGTACCTCGTATTTTGGTTGCAATTGGCCGCACCAAACGTATATAAATATATTTATATATATATCCACTCTGTTACGCGGCTCAGTGATCTCAGTTTCTTTACTGTAAATTGTACATTTTTTGCTGCTTTAAAAATGATTGTATTATGTTGTTTTTATCTTCCGGTTAAGGTTTTTATGCCTTTAGTAAATCTGTATGCAATATTTTTAGAATATCAACAATTGTAAAGTTGTCTAAGTGCCGCTAAGTCTTTTTTTAATGGCAGCCATTGATGTTTACATTTGAAACAGGAGTCTAGTGGATTTGTTGCCAATCTAGAGAAGCTTAGCTTCGCAACAATAAAGATAACGCATTCATTTATTATTGCCAATTAAATCATGCTTAATTCTTTCTGGAATTTTTTCGAGGAAATAAATGTTTGAGATTTACTTCGTAATTTTTAATATAGATATTTTGAGTTTTTATGTATTTTTGCCTTCTCGCGAAGTGAGAACTGAATTAATTGAATGAGAAATACTCAATCGTCTGTGAAAAACTGTTTCTTTTTTGTTTTGTTTGCTTAATTTCTTTTATACATCATTCTAGCTTCATTATAGTATTTGAATAAAACATGTGACAACGATTAGATAATTCTATTCTTTAATTGATATAAATTTTGTGCATTATGAGTTATAATATAAACGAAATATATAAGTTAACTGTTATATAATTATTGGATTATATAACAGTTAACTTAGTTTCCGTTATATAATTATTATATAAGTTAACTGTTATATAATTATTAATACTGTTAAGTGAATCTAGCGCCAGAGTGTCGCTATGGTAAACAAATACTAGAGTGAATTTTAAAGAATGCATTTATTCTATTGTGGTTTATGCGCTGTCGGCGAAGTAGATTTAATTCAATCCAATAAGTTTAAATGAAATGCAAGAAAAAATGCATATAATTTAATATTCCGTACAAGGAAGTCATGTGGTGTACACATCAGATTTTTTATATTCACTATGCGGAAGTAAATAATATACTTCTTCACTGATTACTCCTCCAAATTTCGCCAGAGTTTTCTTAAAAGTTTTACCAAACTCTTTTTTTTAACAGCTTAAGTTTCCAGCAGTGGTAATTTCAGTTATATATTTATTATGAAAGAGTATTATGTATGATTTATTTAAATAGTTTAGTAGGAGTTTGATTGTTTTTTTAAACTATATTTGGACATGTTTTATTTTCATCCAAAAGAAGTATTTCAGAACTCTCGAATTTTCACAGAAATATTCGCACAAGTGTTCAGTCTAGCCCACAGTATAATTAGTAGTTACAATTTTAGCTACTAAGAACGTTAAATACAACGCTATGCAAAGCACATCTAAAGAGAAATTTATCTCAATTCCCACGGAACTAAACAACTGTCAGCAACAGTAACTAAGCCCTTTTATAACCGGCCTTTTGTAGTTTTCAACCAGCGCCAGATATTTCTTGTACCTTATGCTTCTCGAAATTACTGGAAAGCAATAGGTGGAATTACGGTTACAGCTAACAAAGTGGTCAATTACATTTATTCAATTTCAATACAAATTACCGAAATATCCATTTACTCAATATTAAATCCACGTGCCCTTGTATTCTTACTTCTCCGGCATAGCTTTTTGTTCAAATTTGTCTCGCACTCCATTGAACGGGGAAATACAACAAATTTAATTATAATTCTGCTAAAATTACCTATCTGCCTATCTGCCTAAGGTATCTGCCTACGTTAAAAAAACGATTTCGGCGAAAAAATTCGATTTTTTTTTTTTTTTTTTTAATTGCCCAATTTGAAAGGTCAAGTTTTGTAAGATTCCAAAAATGGGTTCATTTTTACGTTTGCGATAATTAGAAGAGAAGGATATAGACAATTAACTGCACTGGAAGTGAAAGCAGAAAGACCGGAAGTGCCATTTAAAAGGCTCAATGTTAAAGGTAAATCCGTGTTTTGTGGTTTTTTTTTTTTTTTTTAACCTGTTTGTGTTGTAAAATTGTGCTAAAACATTTCATTTTAATTCTGGGTACTTTTTTTTTTTTTTTTTTTTTTTTTGTTTCGTTTCTGGCAATAATTATTTGCCTTAATTTTTTTAACTAGGACTGGCAACATTGCGGTTTTTTTAACTGGGTTTGGCAACATTGCGATTAGGTATAAAGACTATGTTGCTGGGTGCATATATAGCCGTTTTAATTTTTAATTCAGGGTATCTTGGATTACTTCCTGTGTTTGAACATTTAGGCATATCAATTGAACAAGAAATGATTAAAAATTACTTTGGAATTGATAACGAAAGAATAAAGAACTCGAAAATTCATTCGTCGCTCGTTTCGAAAATAGCCAGAAAAAAATTAAAATCAAATAGGAAATCAAAATTACTTAAGTATAAAGATATGGAGGGTGTGATGTACAAATGTGGAGAATTTTAAGTGTGTAAATACAACAGAACTGTTTTTCTGTTAATGTGAAATCTTTAAATGCGTTTTCTGAAAAACTAATTTTTCTAGTGTTTTTACATACAAGAAATGTAATTACTCAAAATGTTCTAAAGATATCTCTATTAAATTTCACTAAAATGTTTTCTATATTATTTATTAGGTTTTAAGCTACAATCTAAGTAATATTTATTAATTTGATTGTTTTATAAGTATTTCTGTATAAAACGATAAGAAATATTTTACAAAAAACTGTGTTTTTTCATGTAATTACACATATTTTAGTAAATTTTAGAAATATCATATACATTTTAGTTCATAACACAGATAAGTGTTGTAGTAGTATATAGTATAAAAAAAATTGAAATATATGCTGTGAGAAAAAATATACGGCATTTAATGTAAGTGTTAAATTCTCCTAAAAATGTGCATAAAATTGTATATATTTCAAAAATTTATGAAAGTATTCCTAAACATTTACCTACTTTCATGATTTGATATCATATTTTGACTAAATAAAGATATATTTCATCAGAATTCTATGTTTTTTAAAAAAGTGCTCCGAACGTAGGCAGATACCTTAAATACAAATTAGAAACAGTGTATATATTTTATAAATATGTCAGAATGCAGTTATTAAAAAAAAAATCACACCTCTTGCGCCGGTTTAGCTGTGCATGTCTGCTTTAAGAACATTTTGTCGATAATAAAAGAAATGTTCACCTGACTATAATTGCAGTCACATATTTATATAGCAACTACACCGTGTTCTGTGTTACTCTTTTGATGTATTTATATATTTGATGTATTTATATACGTTATATATGTA